GCCACCTAACTTTTTAACACAGTAAGATGAGGATTAAAGAAGATAAATATTTTCACTAAAATTTTAAGACTATTTTTTTATATATTTAATTTTTCTTCAATTTTTAGAGACATGAACAAAATGAAGAGGGAGCCGAACCCGTAGTAGGTCCACATTTAGTTCTACCATACAGGGACCGCACCATACTAGATGATGCTGCCAATCTTCTCATTCATCACGTTAAGCGGCAAACCGGCATCCAGAAGGGTGAAAAGAGGCGCATTAAGCAACTTCTTCGGCAATTTTTGCCTGACTTGTTCTTTCATCCAAGGCAGCAACTGAGCGATGACGAACGAGAAGAAGATGGTAAGTTGAACCTTTTTCTAGTACCATAAATCGGTAAACTAAGGAATTCATATTTTTACAGATGATAAGGACGAATGTGAGGAGAGTTCTAGTAGTTCCCCAAAGTCGGAAAAAGACAGCAAGGGAAAGGGTAGCGTGAGTCCCGGGAAATCTCCTGCCCGTGCCGAAGGAAACAGCCCTGTGGACATCAAAAGTGAAATAAGTTTGAAGGAGGAGGATGTGAAAGTGCCATTGCATGCTCAAACTAATGATCCCGTAAGTTATTTTTATACTTTTTATCTGTTTTATTCATATTTAATATATTGGGGGTCATATTGTTTTCTCGTTAGCTGTTTTATCCAAATTTTCATGTACAAGTTGCCCAGAAAGTATAAATTAAGTGATTTTTCGCAAATTTAGTTTACTTATTAATGCTCGTTTGCACCGTTTATAATTTAAGCCAAGTTCAACCGAACTTGGTTTAATTTTAAAACTAGGTTTAATAATCAGCTTTTGCACCACTTACTGCCGATTGTAGATTAAATTAAACGGCTTTAAGAATACTGTTTAGGGAGTTTGTTAAGCTGCTAACTTATGTTCGGAAAAAAATATGTCAAAGTCAAATTCTTAAACCTAACGTAATAACCTAATTTACTTTATTGTGATAAAAGATTTAGTTTAGTAACCTAACACCCTAGGAAATGATGTAATTTTATAGAACTCATGTTGCACACTAACTATTTCTTCTGGGTTTGGCATTTTTATGTATCTCTGATAAAGCCGAGTTATTACAATTGATACTCGTACAATTATTCTGGACACTATTGATATGTCCATCCCTGAAAAGTCTGCAATGGCAGACAAATTACCAGCACAAGCATAGAACCGAAAAGCAGTCAGCAATTGTTGGATACGAGATACACTATTATTCCTAGAAATACAAAATCATATTAAGAATAAAAGCTTTTTATAACTCCAAAATTCTGATTGCCAGATGCAATGTGGTCTTTTTTGTCAACCTATTGTCTACATTTAGATTATGAAATAGATCATTTCTATTATGTATATTTGTCTGGGAAATCTAAAGTCTATAATTTCGTGAATATCAAAATCATCCAATACATCAAAGTCAAAATCTGAATCCATTTAAAAGTTCTCAATGATGTCTTAACACCACTCTCTCACTCATAGTCCACAGGAAAAAGGAAGAAATACCTATTTTAAAAAATTATAACTAGCAGCTAAGTACTGTCAATAGTGTCGATTTATATTTTCTCATTAATCCAAGTTTAAGTGGTCAAATTTTAGGGTTTAAATTAATCCTAGATTAATACATAGATTTGAAACGGTGCAAACAAAATGTTATATTTTAGTCCAAGTTCAGATTTAATCCTGGATTAAACACTACGGTGCAAACGGGCATAAGAGACACTTACATGACAGAAAATCAGCAGCCTACTATTATGTAAATAAGAACAATAAGGTAAGAATAAGCATTTTCATTAATACATACTTTTTCATTTGCCAATAAAAAAACAATTTCTAAAACAAATAAAGTCTTAAGGAGGAGCTTCCGAGTAGACAACGAAAAAAATAAGTAAATTTTAGCAATAATTATTATCTTAAAAACTGTTCGATTTTATCCAAATTTGTTTTATTTAAAGTATATACAGGGTGTCGCGCTTAAATGCGATACAAGCCTGTAACTTCTTTATTTTTTGGTCGATTTCAAAAATTTTTATTTTGGAATGTGGGCTAAAAAAACTTATCTAACTGTGATATTGCTGTTTTTATTAATGCAATTCACGGCCAACTAGGACGCGTTTTCTTGACATCAAAACAGCTAATTGGTATTAGCAATTTTTTTTTTTTTTTTTTTTCAAATAACAGGTTACGTATTCTCATTTAGCATCCCTTAAAACGTCTTACCACTAAGTTTCATCAAAATCGATAACATCTTTAAGTGAGCACTCCATGATGTCGCGAAATGTAATACGTGGCCAATTTCAAAAATTTTTTTTATGGAATCTAGGATAAAACAAATTCTAACTGTGATACTGCTGTTTTTTATTAATGCAATACACAGCCAACTAGTGCTCGTATGAAGATGTATCGAATTTTATGAAACTTGGTGATAAGACATTTTAAGGGATGTTGGATGAAAATACGTAATCTGTTTTTTGGAAAAAAATCGCTAATACCAATTAGCTGTTTGACATCAAAAAAACGCGTCCTAGTTGGCTGTGTATTGCTTTCATGAAAACAGCAGCATTACAGTTAGGTAGAGTTTTTTTTATTCTACATTCTAAAGGAAAAAATTTTTGAAATCGGTCATAAAATAAAGAAGCTATAGGCTTGTATCATATTTAAGCGCGACACCATGTATGTTGAGATATGCTGACAAATTTCTATATAAATACACAGAGTGTTACAAATTAGTAGGTCAAGCAGTTAACCACATATTCTTTGAACTAAAATAATGGGACTTTTCTTATGCCACTTCATTTCCAAGCCCCATTTTCAAAATACAGGGTATTAAAATTAAAATTAAAAAATTATTTTTATTGATAACTCTGGTGATAGAGATATTTATTTGAAATTTAGCACATTTTCAAGTTTAAGTCGGCATGCTTTTTGTGTAATTTTGGTTTAAAATGTCATGCTCCCAACGTAGGGGAAGGGGGTTGCAGTACCCATCGGCCCCCTATTTTTTTTGAGTACGTCTGCTTTCCAAATATCTTTTTTAGATAAAGCGGAGTATAACTTGTAAGATTTTCATTTGGGGCTCGGTTTACAAGATATTGTAACTTTAGGATACGCGACATCAATTTAGTCGACATAAGACTTTAATTTTTGGGATTTTATGAAAAATTTCTTTTATATGGTACCAATGCTAACTAAACAACAATTAAAAAAATGAATTGTGTGAGGCAAAGAGCATTTTAGGCTGAACCACATATTTTGATTAGCAGCTTACTGTACAAGATAGTGCAACTTTTTTAGATATGTTAGATTTAGCCCAAATTAAATATTGTTGATCATGATGATGATCATTTCCATTTTATTCAGTAAATTGAAATAAATAACGAGTCAAATCTTTCATATAACCCTAAAAAATAAAGTTTAACATCGACTAAATCGATGTCATATATCCAAAAAAGTTAAAATATCTCGTAAACGAGGCCTCAAATCAAAATCTTATAAGAGTGAAAAAAGTAGAGCAAACCACTTTATCTAAAAAAAATATTCGGAAAGCTTAGGCGTGCTAAAAAAAAAATAGGGGTTTCATGGGTACTGCAACCACCCCGCAGCACTGTAGTCTGTAAATTGTAAATCATTTAAAAATATAAGACATCCATTATTTTCCTTATATAGACGTTAAATTTTGAACCCTATTACATCAATCTGCAAAATTATTTGACATATTATGAGGACAAGAACCTTGACAGAATATATTTGTAATAACTTGTAAATAATATTTAGGTAAGAATATGATTTTTAATTTGATTGTTAATATATAGGCGAAAAAAGTGGTAACATTTAATATATATTTTGATTCAAGTTTAATATAGATCTAAAAAAAGGAAAATTCTGCATGCTTCCAATTTCCCACCTACCACCCACCACTATGCTATTTCGTTGTTGAACAACTCGCTTGTGCTGTTGGGTTAAATTACAAGATTGATCTGTTTTAAAATAATAATTTCCCCACCTATGTTGTCAAAAAGGGAGGCCTCTGCACTGACAAATTGTCTTTATTACCTTTATCTCTGCGAACCTCTGGAAATAAATACACATTTAAGGAAATTTGCAGGATAAGAACAATTCTTTTGAGTAAATCCCCCCCGTGTTCCATGGATCGGAACAAGTAGTAATCCGATGGAGCGATATCTGGTGAATATGGCGGATGGAATAAAACATTCCATTTTAGTATTTCTAAGTATTTTTTTACGTCAGGAGCAACATATGGTCAAGCATTGTCATGTTGAAAATTTACATTATCGTACCTTTGCTCAAATTGCGGCCATTTTTCCTTTAATACACAGCTCAAACATATTAATCCCACCAAATACAGAGTGTGACCTGCAAACCATGAATATTCGGCTTTGCCGTCAATGTTGTGTTGATGCACAAAAAACCTTTCTTTTTTGCTGCTGAAGTAATTGTTTACACGTGAAAATTGCTGTTCAACATCTCCCGATTTCAATTTGTATAGCACTCACCACTCCTTGCTTCTGAATCATACCTAATACATTTAAACGTTTGGAAACTGTCGTGCAGTCAACAAGTTCATCTTGTGTTTGACATGAATCTTAGTCGAGTAATGCTTCCAATTCCTCAACAAAATGACATGATTTATCATCTATTCATTTGGTCTTAGGATTATGGTTTAATTTAAACCAACTCTGAAAGATAACCCAAATTTAATAAATTGGACCATAAACTCTTAACAGTGCTTAGAGCATATATAATAATCGAGATTTTTTTATTGGTTGATAAAGTAGCGGCAATTTTGAGCTATTATAAAACTATATTTTATAAAATTCATAAGTTTAAAATTAGTAGCAATTGCAGATATTCATTCTCTATGCGTGGTATAACTGTTACTACTAGATTTAGATTTCCACTGTAATTGGAAGTTGACCATTTTGTCAACAAATTGTATTTTGTTGCAGGAAGAAGCATACACCCTCTTTATGGCCAACAACAACTGGTACATATTTCTAAGATTGCATGCAATCCTGTGTGAACGTCTCTGCAAGATATACGAACGTGCCTGCACCTTAGCCGAAGATGAAGCTAAATCACGAACCAACAGGAAGGAGAGCACCGCTATTGCTCTACGATTGAAACCAAAGCCCCAGATCGAGGTGGAGGACTACTACCCTGCTTTTCTTGATATGGTGAAGAATTTGCTCGATGGTAACATGGAGGCAACTACTTACGAAGACACACTACGAGAGATGTTCGGAATACATGCCTATATTGCCTTCACTTTAGACAAAGTAATCACCTATTCGGTGAGGCAGCTGCAACATTGTGTGACAGAAAGGACGGCAATCGCCTGTTCGGAGTTATTTCTTAAGGAGCAGAAGAGAAGTGCCGCTGGCGGACACTGTGCGACCGCTGGCAAAAGGCAGCATATGGAACTCGCCTACCAAAGGGCAGGTGAAAAGGTAATGGCACTGTATTAATGATTTTGGCAAGTAAGCCAAAGTTATGCACTTGCGGATTTGTTGTACAAACGGTAGTAACAATTCATTTAATAAAGAATGATGGGTATATGGTAAATATATGGTTGGAGACTTATAAAGTTTCATATTAACATTCATAGAAGTACTTATTTCATATCGATTAACACATGGTCTATAAAACTACTTTAATGAAAAAATACACCAATGCTAATGTACCCATACACATACCTATAGTAGGATCGTATTCAATGCAAACTAGAGCCAAAAGTTGTAGGACTTTTATCAAAGGAAAATCGTGTCATCATTTTTAGGAGACGTAAGATGAACCATTTCAAATTTAAAATGAAATTGAATGTTAAATCAAATACCGTTGCATACACACTGTGCTCTGGTAGTAGCTGTAGTCGCCCAGGTGCATCGAGTGTACGAAGTGGTCGGTTATACGTCAAATACTAACCTGGCGAGCTTGACTGTAAATCAGAGAGCGCCTACAAAAAACAAGTAAACAACATTGGCGTGTACAAAGGTAAAATGTACAAATGTGGAATTTAAAAAACAAATTGGATTTATAATAAATTACATTTGAAATAAATAGTTTATGAGAATAAAGAAATTTTTGTAGGAACAAGGGTGACAGACGTGAACTGATCCCTTCGTCCCTTCATAATGTATAAACAAATTATTCTATTTCTAAAACCCTTAAAAGCGTATGGCACTGGATCCCTTGACAGGCAATGATCATAAACAACTTTTCGAGGAAACAATTTAGCAAGTTTCTTGTAAACTTGTTAATAATTGTGCTGCAAAATTTATTAAGACTACTAAAGATTTTTTCTTAGCAACGTTCAAATATGCTTGTTTTATACAAAGTTAATTATCGAATGATTAATTTCTTTTAAATACTTCTGTATGTTTATCAGTTGATTACAAAGTATTGATATGGAATATTGTAACAAATTGCATTGACCTTACACAGTAATATTGCATAATTAAAATGAATGAAGTTTGTTACAATTTGGAATTTAGTGTAAAATTTATTGTTTAATGGGTCAATTCTAAGGAAAAATGTAAGAAAATATATATTTTTTTAAATTAATACTTGTTAAAGGATCATGCAACTATCCTTATGGAAAACTGATACCGGTCGAATGATACGGAACTTCGCCGAATGATAGTCTTCGATGTGTCGATCAAAGGTCCTAGGTCTGAAATAGTACTGTTCTGAAGCTACAGCCTTCTGAAATTATCAAATCCATGTGCTCGATGACCATCAAGTCCAATTATTTACGGGCAAGTAAAAGCAAATATTTACAAGACTGAGGAATGCTGCAGATATGCTGATAACGGATAGGTGTTCAGCATGCATAAAAACATAAGATGTTGCTCAAGCAGTACATGTCGCTATCGCTGTTCTTCAGTAGTGTGCTTCACATATTTTCTGAAGTTTGAAGGATGATACAGATATTTTGATGACGGATTCGCATTCAGCACTCAAAAATACATCAAGAAACAGCCAGATTGGTCACTTTATAAAAAAATATTTGCTTTTACTCACCCATAAATCATTGGACCTGATTGTCATCAAGCACGTGAATTTGATAACTTCAGAAGTTTTTCAGACCTAGGTCCCATGGACTTTTTTGATCGACACATTGAGGACTATCTTTCGGCAAAGATTCGTACCATTCGACGGGGACTGGTTTTCCATAAGGATAGTTGTGGGGTCATTTGGAGTTTGAAATAAAAGAAGAAAAGGGTAAAATAATACGTATTTTGTAGTACATATAATACATGTCTCAAAATAAATTAATACAAAAATTATCAGTAATAATAGGTACAAGAAATAATCATGTCCTGTAAAATTTTAAGCTGTCCATGAGGAAGATGAATCATTCTAATAGAATTTAATCTGGCACACTTGCAGCTGTGGTTTGTAAATGCTCCAGAGCAGTTGTTGGAAGCACTCTTTCTGTACTTAAGGGGGATAGCCACTGTGACAGCCGAAAAACTGAGTGATTTTCGTGAATTTTTTTCACCGGGAAAATTAAGGAATATGGGGATCGAGTTTTTTTAAATTTTATTAAGTGTATATTCAATTTGGTTCATGTAAATTTTTATTAAAAAATACTAAGTTACAAAGTTATAAGCCTTGCCGTAAAGCCTTAAAAAAAATCCCCCTCCATGGTCACATCGATTTTCCAAAAACGGGTTATCTGAAAAAAAGAAATCCAATTGCATTACAATCTATATTAATAAAGTTACCGTTGTACTTGGCCATTTATTATTATTTTGATTTTTTACAAAATGGCGACCGATTGAAAATTTTTTTCACTCTTGAAAAATTGTAATAATCAAAATTTTCAAAATTGGCTACATTTAATCTTAACCATTGCAAAGACGAATAAAACAAAACAAAAAAATTGAAAATCAGTTTGAAAAATGTCGTTTTGAGAAAAACGCATTTAAAGTTTTCGAACCATTTTTCTTACTATAAAATCATCTTTCCGAAGTCAGTTGAACATATAAAAAAACGTCTGGCAATAAAATGTAATGAGTTTCATAGGCATCCCCAAAAAAGCTTTCTGCTAAAGGTAAGAAATTATACTAATTTGTATATGTGTAGAAAATTTCTATATGATTGTTCATTTGGCCAACAACATACTTTAATTATTATTTATGCCCGCGAACAATTTTATTATATTGATGGTAAATTTCGTTTTGTTCCATTTCAAAATGTCACCAAAATGCCATGTTGTAATAATATTATTTCTCCCTTTCGCAATAACACTAAATTCTCATCGTGACCGGAACCGCGACAGCAAATCGGTAAACATTAAAACAAACATAAGTTCACGTTCAGAAGAAGAGAGTATATAAAAATGACCAATTGACATACCTTTTTATTTGTATTAAACAAGCAAAAAAAATTCTGAAATACAAATTTTTCCATTTGGTGCAAAATTGTTGGAAATAAATTTTTTAAATCATATTTGTGAAATAGTTATCTGGGAGATACTGACAAAAAAAAATTGAGGAATTGTGTTAATTGCTTATATCTGCTCTGTGTAAATTCTTCCAAATCTACTTGGGAAACCTGGGAAAAATATCAGTTAATTTCTTTGTCAAAATTTGTCATGCACACCCAGTCTCAATTTTCTAAAGATTTCCGATTTGCACGTGCAGGTGGTTCAAGACGAAAACTGCTTCAAGATCTACATCTACAAGCGAGACTGCAAGATGACGATAGAGCTGTTGGATACTGAACCCGAAGACAGCAAGAAGGTAGAAGAAGCGAAGAAGTGGAGCAGCTACAAGGAATGCTACACGGATTGCACCAGTACAGAGAGCAAACCAAGGTCCCCCGTCTACCTCGATAGAAATCTACGTCTATACAACAGGCGAGCAGCAGCTAACTTGAATAAGAATAGACGAGTAGTGAGGAACCACCAGCTAAATGAGAACGAGGAGGAGAAGAACAGGCGGCTACAACCAGAGGTTGACAAGAGCAATTGCAAGGGGGACAGCGACTTCAACATCTTGGATGTCATCGAAAGGAAATTGAGCGAGCGTGCTGGTCCTGAGAGGAGCCAAACGGAACACCCGGGTTACAATGTGAACGATGAGACCCAGTGCAAATTTAATCCGCAGGACTCTAAAATGATGTTTACCGTGACGAAAGACAGCTACTTGTATAACATAAGTGCCTTCCACAAAGCTAGAAAGGTGAGTGTTCTTATTTCTTTTATTTTTCTAGGGAATTTAAAGATGTATGTATGTTGCCATTTTGATGATATTCTATACTTTGAATAAATAAAAAAAAACACATTTTATTTTCTTGGGAGTACACTAGAATTTCACTAGTGACGTGCATCTTTGTTACATTTAGATATCAGATACTTTGAAACTACCAGATACTTTGTATCGGATACTGTCTCACTAAAAGTATTCGTTCATTAAACATTATTTTTAGATGAATACTAATATTTATTTATTTTAATTTCATTTGGAAAAATTGAAAAGAAAAAACATGGGTTACACATTTACATGAATATTTTACAGTTGATGTATTATACACGGCTATTAAGTTTTAAGATTGATTTTATTGTGGCGAAGTGCATGGTGCTACCTATATACGATCAACGGAACTACATAGTGAAAAACCTTCTGAGCGATTGAACAAAATTTCATCAGTATACGTGTATCTACCACGAAGTTATACGTTTTACTTGAAGCGAGTTTTTGATAGTTGTCATGGAAACGCGCATTGAACAACGTACAGCAATTATGTTATCAAGTAAAGCCGTGGAGCTGTGTTCTTATGCTTCTATAAATATCGTAATTGCTGAGACAGCATGTTCGAATGCCAAACGAATGAAAACATCAAAACTGCACTGCTCTGAAGTCTGATTGTCGATCAATCGTATACGGTCTATTGACATTTTGATGGTTGATTGATAATCAGCTTTCAACGCAGAGCGCACAGCTTCGATGTTTTTTGTTCGTTCAGCTTGTGCGGAGACGCTTCGTCCTCTCGTCATCGTGCATGCTGTCAACAAAAGCACTGTTGCTAGGAGCCGTAATATTTTAAAAAGTAATAAAAGTGGACACTCATGGCAGATTTTAAAAATATTAATATTTTTAAAATATACAGGATGATTCACAAACGATGATCAAAAATGAAACCTCGTATTCTTTGGTGAATTTTAAGGGGTCTTTTATATAAACGCTTTGTTAAAAAGATACAGGGTGTTAAAAAATATTTTTAATAATTTAAAAACTAGTAAGTGAAATAATTTGAATTTGGGCGCATGTATTTATGTAAACATTGTCCAAATTCTGAGGCCTTTTTCTAAAATTTAGATTCTCCAGTGGCGTAGATACGGGATACTGGTGAAAATAAATAAGCACTTATTCAACTAAAAAGTTAATTGCCATGCATTAAACACGAAAAATGTATGCGAACTTATGTTGTACAAATTTCATTCGCATATATTATATTTACTTAGTAGTTGATGTAAGGTTAGTACTGTAACGAAACTCCCGTGTATAAGCATAGGCTTCCCTCCCATATCGCCTGCCCCGCAAGAGATCTATCGAACCTATTTAAAATACATATTTCAATAATTAAAAAAATGTCTTACCTTTCCACATATACGTAATGGTACAACAGCGGTACCGTTTTGACGCTATTTATAAATATTAGTTTTTGTAAGCAATAGATCAGTAAAAATAATACAAAAGTAGTACAAGGCCAGATAATTATTTACATATTCCAATAATATAACCTCATTACTGATCTGGGGCTGAAGATTTGTTGGGTTGAACTTCTGAACTTCACAAAGAAATTCACGCAAATTAGAACATGTTCTAATTTGTGAGGAACTTCTTGAATAAATCATGAAGTTATTTGACAGAAGATTTGGCGCATTGCACTTGTCAAATTTCTTCAGTAAGCAACTTCATGAATTAATTCGTGAATAAATTCACAATGTAAGACAGATATTAGGGTCGTGTGGCACTATTCTAAAATTAGAATTGATTTCAGTAATTAACTAAGAACTTTCAATCTTGCATAGTATCATACAGAAACTGCAACAAAAATTGTTTAATTTAACTTCCTATTATTAATAGATAGTGCACTTAAGATAGTCTATCATGTCACAGCTGTCCCTCAATTTTGTTTTAGTTTTATATTTTTTAAATTATTGACAGTTAAATAATTTCATGTAAAAATAAAACGATACATGGCAATTTTTTTGGTACATTTTCTGTTAATATCTGAAAAGGTGACAAACATCCCATTAACTGGGTATGGGAAACTATAATGGGAGAACAATTGAATTATGTCCCACAAAATACATATGGATTATAAAATTTCGAGGAGCAAGAACGTAAACAAACTCATGAATGGTGACGAGAAGCTGGCTAAAATTGAACTTCTTGTTAGTGTTTAATTTGAAATTAAAGTACATTTTTTTTACAACAAAAATAAGATCCATATTTATTAAAAGCTATGTTGTGAATGGTACCAGAGAAAATATTACTGATCAATAAAAAATATCCAGATTTACTACAGAAACATTCTTGTTACTATAGATCAGCTTACTTTTCCCATTCTGGTCCTAATTTCAGTTTAAGTTATACTCCGCGGTCGAAATTATAGAGAGTGACTCCGACAATATAAAAACACTATTACCATATTGCGTATAAAATATAAAATGATTTTTATACGGTTCAATATTATTTATCTTTGTGCCGCTCGCTACGCACATCGATAGAATCTATAATCGTCTA